GGCTGGAAAGTTGTAAGTAATCCACATTCCACCTCTTCCCCAAAGACAGCCAGGATCTGAAAAGAAACTGAAAGTTGGGAAGAAGGGAAGCGACGTGGAGGGGAGGTGTTCAGGGCAGCCCAGAAAAACTGGGTTGAATTTCTAATGACCTCACCAAGCCTAGGGGAGAGAGGCAGGCTAGCGGGCATTACATACCTCTTGGCTATTGGGGAAACTGAGCCAGAGAAACAGCTCTGATAGACAGTGGCTGGGCCCTGTCCAGTTCACACAGCCAACCTCCCTGCCCCCACCCCCACACACAGACAAACGCGTGCACACACACACACATGCATCACATATGCACAGAGACCAGGGGAAGAGGGAGGAGAAAGGAGAAATAAAAGGTTGTGGCGGCCTAAAATTCTGAAGGTAAACTTTCACCATCCCTGTCCCTGTGATTTGGTGACTGATTAGATGATGGGCCCCAAAGAAGGGCCCCTCAAGTATCCAGTATCCAGATCCAGATTCAAGACCAGGCGGCTGGCAGGGAGGCTGCAGGCCTGGGGCCTGCTGACCACAGTATCAGCACCCAGCACACCCAGCGTGCCGGGGCCTCAGCGCTGTGACTGCCGTGCCTCTCCCTGCCGCCGTCCCCACCTGCCCCTTCCAAACCATGGGCATCAGAACCCTTTGTGGATGCCTATGGCTGAACCTAGCACTGCCAGGCTCCTGCAAACCACTTTCTGCTAGTCCTTTCTTCTTCCCCTTCTGTTCACATAAACTCTCTGCCTCTGGGTTTCAGTTTCCTCCTCTGGAAGTGGGAACAAAGATGATACACATCTCACCAGTTAGAAGAAATGTATGGGAAACAGCATGTCATCAGTGCTAGCAGCTATGATTACTATTACTGTTGGTCATTCCTGCCTTGTTCAAAATCTCCCCAGTGGTCCAGGGTCTCCATGATTCTGTACTTGCGGGGCGGGGGGTTCTTCCCCTTCTTTGCTGGCTCCCTCCAGGCTCCTTCCTGGGGCCCTCTCCTGCTGCCCGCCCCTGCAATGGCAGTGCTCCCCATTGCCTTGGTACTTCCTGGGCGACCTCACCTACTGTGAGGCTCCAGTTTCAAGCAGTGACCAGAGGCTCAGATTTTGTGGGGTCAGTTCTGACTTAAAATCTTCAGTGTGTTGTCCCTGTATGGTCACGAGCCAGGTTGGGCCCTGGCCTTTGTGATCCCATGTCTATGTGCGAAAGCATATAAACGTCTGGCTGCTTCCTTGGTCATCCCCCCAAAATGTTCCCCTGGCCCCTCGAACTCAACAAGTCTGGGTTCAGCAACTCCCTCCTGATTCTTTTCTTCCCCTGATGCCCTGTCTCAATGGATTCACTTTGCCAACTGTCACACCGAACAGACATGTGGGCCACAGCTCCATCGCTGTCTTCCCCCTACTCAGCCCTGTACCCAGCCAGTCACAGAATCCTGGGAGCCTGTCTCCTAAACCTTGCTCTTGGCTAGGCCCCTCCCTCCATCCCCACCCTCACACAAACCATTTGCTGTTCCCTCTTTGTCCTGCTCTAAATTCTTCCTCCACCCCCTGGCCCACCCACACGACCCTGCTTCATGCAGCCCACAGAGCCCTCATCCGATCCTGGTCTCTCTTCTCCCTCTAAGGCACTGCCAGTTTCTCCCCTCAGTGGGAAACCCCTGAGAGCAGGGCCTTCTGTGACTCACAGCTGACACTCTGCCTTGTAAGGAGCAGGAGGAACTCCACCCCAGTCTTGGTGAGTTTGAATCATAGAGCCCAAGCTCTCAACGCACAGATGAGCAAACCGAGGCTCAAGAAGAGAGGGGACTGGCTCACAGTTACAGAGCAGGAAGAGGCAGCAGACCTGGGCTAGGACTGAGGTCTCTGGGCCCAGTTAATGTTCCTGGAAGGAGACGGGGACCCTGAGCCTGGGAACTGGGCTGTGTCAAGTCACTGCTCCTGAGGCCTCCATTTATGACCTAGCCATTCACTGATGTCTCTGTCCCACCTCCAGGCCTTTCCTGATGCTCCGGAGGCCCATCCTCCATCTCTGACTAGATAGCGCCCAGTCATACTTACCTGGCATCTGATCTGATCTCCACCACAGGGTCTCCCTCAGAGATCCCAAAATGCTCCCCAACCTCCTTTATGGGACAATGCTCTCTGTTGCCCTCTTCCACCTTCAGCTTCACCCTGTGTCTCTCTGAGGTCCCAGGCTTCCTGCCAAGGAAGTTCGTGCGGTTCTGTCCATGGGAACTAGGAGCATCTCAGGCCGGAGCCAAGATGGAGGTCTGAGCCTTACAGGAGAGCTGGGAACAGGTGGAGGTGTATGAAAACATGGGGTCTCTAGTCTCTGCCGCTTCCCTTCCCCCTGTCCACCCCACACTCACCCTGCCCTTCCCATTCCTCCTTTCCCTGCCACTCCTCCTGGCCAAAGCCCACACCTCAAAGGTTCTGACCACCACTGGGGCACACAAAGTATTCACTCTTTTGTCCACACACTCATAGACATTCCCTTACACAGCCTCACACACTCATACTCATACACCCACAGTCAGACAATAGTCACCATCACATAATCTCAAGTCACCATCACACACCCAGAAAGTCTCAGAGTCACCAAGAGTACCAAGTCTCTCTGTCACCCTAAATACACACAGTCAAACAAAGATGCAGACTCACACAACGACAACTCTACACACCTGGTCACACATACACAGAATCACAAAGTCTCTCACACACAGACAGATACAGAGCAATACACAGTCACACACAGAGAAAAACAGACATACACAGTTGCACACAGGCCCCTGGAGACGCAGAACAATGGGCACATTGTCTGGGCTTGCAGCAGCTGGGGAGGAAGGAGCAGCAGTGTGGACAGAGGAGGCAGTGGGGCTGCTGTACCCCACCCCCTTCACCCAGCAGCATCCTCTAAACCTCTTCCCTCTCCAGAAGCCAGATTCTGCTGGACCTGGATTTGCTGAGGGATTGGGCTCCCGGGCACCGCCCCCGCCCCCGACTTTCCCCTCCCCGGCCCGCCCTCCCCGCTCCAGCAATGTCTGGCAGGAGATGCAGGGGCTCCTCTGTGGACCATGCTCCTTCTGAGGCTTTGGGGACTCGGATCCTTTATCCCTGATGCTCCTCCCTCCTTCTGGGATTATCCAAGCAATTTGCCTCTCATCCCCAAAGGGCAGTTCCTGGAAATTAGGAGCCCTGGGATCTGCTCTTAACCTTTGACCCAAACCCCTCCAGAACTCACACACCCTCCTTCTAAGCCCTACCAACCCGGGGCGGGCAGTGCCTGGCAGCATTGTGGCTTCCCTATTGTGACCCACACAGAGATGCAGGTCACAACGTCCATCCCTTAGTGGCAGTGGGTGGAGAAGTCACCGTCATATCACTGAGCTGCAGTGGGGCATGGTGCCCCTTCCCTGTCCCAAAGCTGGCTCTTCTTGCCTCACTCTCTGACCAAGCAGCACTAGATCTCAACAGAGAAGTCTTCCAGGGGTTTCCTTAGAGTCCCCGGACCACTTCAGCAGGTCTCTCGGCTCTTTCTCACCCTCAGCTACTGGTATCTGCTGTATGCCCTTGGACATGTCACTTTCCTTTTTTGAACCTCAGCATCCCGGCCTGTAAAATAGGAGGGTGCTCATGAAGCTGAAAGTATTCCATAGTCTCAGAGTGGGGACGGATATGGACGTTACAGGAGTGAGTGCTGAGTGTAGACGCCACCTCAGCCTGCCCCTCCCACAACCCCAAAGAGGCCAGACCCGTGCAGAGTTCCCGATCTCTCAGGCCCCGGGTTGGGGCGATGGGTTGTATCTCCACAATTGACAGCCTCAGTCCTCCCAGGAGGCCCTACCCATTGTAGGTTGAAGGGAAGATGGATGCCATTGTTGAGTGAGCTGTCCAGGACACAGCCTTGCTTTTGCAACGTTTCCTCCAGCCCCCAGCCCCTTCCTCCTGTACAACCTGATGAACACAACCCCTTCACCCTGGGCAGCTGGACGCACACACACCATGGGGCACGCCAGGACTCTGGGGTTCCCGTGGCCTGTCCAGGTATGAAGGGAGCCTTGGTGATGGTCCTGCCCCTCCTCCTCAGGAACTGGAGTGTTTTAAGGTTTGTTGATCCCCTTTCAGGGCTTTCTCTGCCTGCTTGGTGGGGAGTTCTGAGGTAGGGGAGCCGATGTGGAAGGAGGGCAACAGAGAAGTCAGACATACTGTGTCAACCTCTCTGAGCCCCAGGCTCCTCAGCTTTCAAATGGAGATGAAGATACCCTTCAAGATTATGGGACCACCTTACGTGGGATCTAGGCTGAGGGCATGACAGGCCAAGTGTGAGCTTGTCTGTCGGCGCTCAGCATAACTGGCCACCAGGGACTGAGAGGATGGATGAGGAATGGGCCTCACCAGTCTGAGCAAAGAGATCCCGCAGTGGGTTGGACCCCGGGGTAGGCCGGCAGGGACGTGGGTGGGACCTCTGACCTGAGGGAGTGCAGATCCTAGCCCCGGGCCCTGCATCTTTGATGAGCACGTTATCCTCAGCATAACTCAGGATTAGTCCTCGGATGCGCCTGGGCACGTGAAACCTTCGAAGAGTTCTAGAGGGAGACTGTCCGGGACTGTCACGGACTGCCAGGGCAGGACCAAGGTAATGGGGGGCCACTCCAGATGCTGGGGCAGCTCGCTGAGAGATGGGCCGTGAGAGGAGGGAATGATCGCTCTCTCCCCTTTCCTCTAGGAGCACTCCTCTGCCCAGCTTGCCGAGGAACCCGCCTTTCCCCTTCCCACACAAGACCCCACCTGCCGTGTGGGCTGGGGGGACCAGACCGCCAGCGTCGCCCATTGCACAAGTGGGGCGCGCGACCTGAGCCCGCCTCCGCCCCTCGATTGGGCGCTCATTTAAATGCCCGGCCCCGCCCCAAGCTAGGGGCGCATATATATAGGCAGCTCGGCGGGCGGCGGGCAGCATTCTGGCGCGGAGCAGAGCGGCGGCTGGTGCAGTTGTTGGGTCGGGAGCTGAGTGGGGGTGCAGCTCGGTTTCCCCCGATACCCCTCCCCCTCAGGCGCGAGCCCCACCCCTTCGCGGGCCAGGCCGACCCCGCCGAACCACCCCCTGCGGCGCGAGCCCGGGGTGGCTCCGGGCGCCCCCCAGCAGACCCCCATCATGGGCAGCCAGAGCTCCAAGGCTCCCCGGGGCGACGTGACCGCCGAGGAGGCAGCAGGCGCTTCCCCCGCTAAGGCCAACGGACAGGTGGGTGCGCTGGGCACGGCCCGCCCTGGCCCCCTCTTCTCGTACCTCGCCCCCTCTAGGGCCCTGGGCCGGGGCCGCGCGCTTTGTCCGGCCCGGGACACGCGGCAACCCCCTCCCCCGCCCGGTCCCTTTGTTCTCGGCGCCGCAGCCCCCGCGGGTGAAGCAAGGGGAGGGGCGGGGAGGGGGCGCCGGCCGGGCCCCGCCGCCTTCTTTGTTCGCCGCCCCGGCCCCCGGCGCTGCCCCCCGGCCGCCCCGAGTGCCGATCGGGGAACAAAGGGCCGCACCAAGGGGGCGCCCAGGGGCCACGGGGCGGTTGCCCTACCCTCCGACCACTCCACCCGCATCCCCGACCTCAGTGGCCCACGGCCTTTTTTCAAGGGGTAGCCGAGGTGTGGGGAGAGCCTGCGGTGGGTGGGGGGCCGTTTACCCAAAGCAGGAAACTGGGGAAATAGGCCGTCCAGGTGCGGAGAACAGCGCCCCGGGGCGGCTTCCCGCCCAATCTCAGCTGGCAGGGCTCGCCCGCCCGCCAGGGTTCCGCGGCCGCCTGTGGGTCTGCGCGAAATGGAGAGCGCGCCCCGGGGGAGGTGGGTGGGGGGCCACGGGACCCCAGCGCCTCCTGCCGGCCGCGGCCTCCGTTCTTGTCCCCAGCGCGTCTGGAAGGGGCAGGAGGAAGATGTTTGACGGGATCCCGGGTGTGGGGTGAGGCTACAATTAGACTCGGTTGCAGTAGAATGGGTCGGGTCCTCGTTGTCTGGAAGGGGTCAGGGGCAGGCGGGGGGCGGGGGGTGGGGGGGGGGCTAGAGTCCTGACCCTTACTGCTGTCTCCTCTGCCCCGCAGGAGAATGGCCACGTGAAAAGCAATGGAGACTTATCCCCCAAGGGTGAAGGGGAGTCGCCCCCTGTGAACGGAACAGAGGAGGCAACCGGGGCCACTGGTGATGCCATCGAGCCAGCACCCCCAAGCCAGGGAGCTGAAGCCAAGGGGGATGTACCCCCCAAGGAGACCCCCAAGAAGAAGAAGAAATTCTCTTTCAAGAAGCCTTTCAAATTGAGTGGCCTGTCCTTCAAGAGAAATCGGAAGGAGGGTGGGGGTGAATCGTCTGCTTCCTCGCCCACAGAGGAAGAGCAGGAGCAGGGGGAGATCGGTGCTTGCAGCGAGGAAGGCGCTGCCCAGGAAGGGAAGGCTGTTGCCACCCCCGAGAGCCAGGAACCCCAGGCCAAGGGGGCAGAGGCTAGCACTGCCTCCAAGGGAGGAGACACAGAAGAAGAGGCAGGGCCCCAGGCTGCAGAGCTGTCCACCCCCTCCGGGCCGGAGAGTGGCCCAACACCTGCCAGCGAGCAGAATGAGTAGCTGGGTGGGGGCAGGTGGGTGATCTCTAAGCTGCAAAAACTGTGCTGTCCTTGTGAGGTCACTGCCTGGACCTGGTGCCCTGGCTGCCTTCCCGTGCCCAGAAAGGAAGGGGCTGTTGCCCCCTCCCAGCCACGATCGATCCCTTTCCACTTTTCCTTCCCTCCTGTGGATTCTCCCATCATCCACCTGGTCTTCCTCTCAAGGCCAGTTGAAGATGGTCCCTTCCCGTTTCCCAAGTTAGGTTAGTGATGTGAAATGCTCCTGCCCCTCCCTTTCCCTGTCCCACCCCTGCAGAAGGCAATTGCTGGTTTTCTCCCCCAGTTCTTTTCCAAGTAGGTTTTGTTTACTCCCCAAATCCCTGAGCCAGATGTGGGGTGCCTGAGTGTCCAGCCTTCCCCCTGTTAAGTTTTTAGTCTCTTGTGCTGTGCCTAAGTGGCACCTGGGCTAGGGGAGGACACTGCCCCTGTCTAGGTTTTTATAAATGTCTTACTCAAGTTCAAACCTCCAGCTTGTGAATCAACTGTGTCTTTTTTGACTTGGTAAGCAAGTATTAGGCTTTGGGGTGGGGGAAGGTCTGTAATGTGAAACAACTTCTTGTTGTCTTTTCCCCGTCCCATTGTTGTAAATAACTTTTAATGGCCAAACCCCAGATTTGTACTTTTTTTTTCTAACTTCTAAAACCATTTTCTTCCACCTGGTTTTACTGTAACATTTGGAAAAGGAATAAATGTTGTCCCTTTAGTGGTGCTTTTTAATGAGTGGTCTCTTCTGGGGGAAGGGTGAGAAGATTGGTTAACCTCAAACCTTGAGGGAGGCATGAAGAAGACAGGTGAGTTTGTGGAGCTAGTTGGCGGTACCCTTATGGACCTCCCAAAGGGCAGGGAGGTGGAGACAAAATCAACCCAGGGATACTGCTAGATGAGCTCAGGAGGGTATAGAAATGTACCATTTTATTACAAAGACTCACAAAAAAAAATATCTCAAAAATGAAACTACCCATCTCCACCTGCAGAATGGGGGAGGGAGGGGGAACAAAGGTCAGGCAGTGTGAGTGTCTTGGCTCACTGGGGGCAAGTGGGGAAGGTATGAGAACAGAACCAATCTAAAGATGGCTGATGTTACCTTAAGGAGCCTGTAAAGAACAGGCAGTCCCGGAAGACCAAGCCACCCCTTCTAGAATGCTCAATAAAGGGCATCTTTCCAAAACTAATGAGCAGGAATTTGGCATTTCAGGATTTTGTCCTATGGATGTTTAAGAGAACAGAGTCCCTTCCATCCAGAACCAGCACCCTTTATGGTTCAAAATTAAGAATTGGGGAGAGATGGTAAGGCAGCTATTAGAAGAGCTCACCCAGCACATGTGCCCTGGGCTAGGGGCCCTGGTTCCTGTCAGGTCCCTGGGGAAATTTATATTTAATATATTTTTATATAAATACACAGAAATAGAAAATATAAAATCTGAGGGGTTGCAGGAGAAAGGTGGGGGACTCTGCAAGAAGCCAAAACTGTAGAGATCTGCTCAGGCCAACTTGACCTCCTCTTTGACCCTGTAGAAAGAGCAGAGACTGGTATGAGATAACCCACTCCAGAGGCCTTGAAGCAAAAGTATGGGTACAGTGATTTTCACAGGACCCCAGCTGCTCAGGTGACTGCTGAGGGCTGGGGCTTCCTAGCTCTGCCTAGAACGGCAGAGACAGACTGGTCCCTGAAAGAGGCCTTTGTAAACTAAACCAGCTCTCCCTGAGCCTTCCCTCTCAGTGTAGTGGGACAAAGGGGCTGGTGCATCAATGCCAGGGAGATGGCCGACAGACAGCTACTTCCTCACCCTTTGGCTTCTTGCTTGTCGTCCTTGGTTTTCTCTTCTTCTGTAACTTCTGGAACATAAAAGTGCAGGGATAACCAAGGACAGCCCTTCTGGGAAGACCCACAGGATCGTCATTTACCCAGAAACCCCTTCCCCACACTAGAGCTCACTGGACATTAAAAAAAAAAGAGAAAAGCCCATCCCAGGTCCACCCAGTGAGCCCAGTGAGAACAAACAGGTCTGACCGGTTTCCCAACCTGCTAGAGTCTGAACCTGGTGGGAGGAGGCAGCCCCCTGGGAAACTGGGGTGAAGTGCCAGGAAAAGGGCTTGGGTGGTATGTGAGAGCCACGCTCCTGACCACAGGGAGCCCAGGCATGTCCCTGGCTCTGGAGCCTGGCAGGGCTCAATAAGCCAGGGGAGATGACGAATCGGATTTCATTCTTTTGTAAGCCCTGCAACTTCTGGGAGCCACTGAAAGGCCCAAGGAGCTGAGGAAGAGCCCCATAGGAGCTGGCAGGGCCCAAGTCAGCTCCCTCCTCCCAGTGCCCTACATAGATTCATCATCCTCCAGGGCCTGGGGCTCAAGACCCAAGTCCTGGCTCAATCCAAACCCACCTTTCTTCTCTTCTGGGTCTTTCTCTTTTTCATCCTCTGTTTTGACTCTTTTGGCTTTTTTGAAGTTGGAAGAGTTCTTCCGACCACCTTCCCCCTCCTCATCAGAGTCCGAGAACTCTTCCTCACAGGCAATTCGTTTGTCAGAGGAACAGACTGGGAAGCAATGGGAAATATTGAGGGAGAAGGAGAGACTTGATCTCTGGGTCTATGCCCAGTGCTTCCCTGTTAGTGTCCTCCAAGAGACACCAAGGGAAGCAGACAAAGAAAAAGGGGTAGGGAACTCAGGCTCCCTCACTGTTCCTACAGGCAACAGAACTTGGAACTTGGGTTTCCCAACAGATGGGTAGCTTGGGAAGAAATGTGGAACCAGGAACAGTGGAGGGAAGTCAAAGCTGCCTACTTAGTGGGAAGTAAAGGACCCTGGGTCTGGGTCTTACTCGAGATGCGCTTGTCAGGGTCTTCTTCGTCCTCATCACCACTCTCCTCTGGAATGGCATCCTCAGGGATCGCCTGCATTTGGACCCCAGGTGCGTGGGGCAGCATTCTCAGGTTCTCAAACAGTCGCTGTCTATGGCCAATGGTAGAGAGGGTGGCTGGGCTCTAGTTAGGGACAAACCACAGCCTGGAATGTTCAATCAAGGGGTGCCTGGGGATATACTCACTTGATTTTCTCCAGGTATTCATTCGTGTTCTGGTTAGTCATATTGGAAGGACTGATGTGAAGCTTGAAATCTGGTCCAAAGTATTCAAAGTAGTCGTTGTATGGAAGCTCTAATTGGGGTAGTGAATAAGAGAGTTATGAGATCTGGCCAAACCACTGAACCCTGAGAAAAGCATTTGTAGGTTTATGTGGACCTGTCAGCCCAACTATCAAAGAGACGAATGCCTCCCAGACAGAGTGAGAGGGATGCCTATAGTACCTCAATCCTTTTTAATGCCATCCTACAATGTCCACGCGGCGGCGGGGGGGGGGTGTGTGTGGGATGTGTGTGTGTGTGTGTGTGTGTGTGTGTGTGTTTCTATCTCTCTCTCTAACTATGAGAAGGCCCAAGCCCCAAATTCAGAAAATTGAGGCAACGCTCACTGTGAGCACTTCCTTACTACCCCTGTTACCCTACAGAATAGAAATTCCAAAGCTATAAATAACCGATACTTCTGTTCACAGAAAAACAGGGAGAGAGAGAGGATCAAAAAGTACGCAGGAAAAAATGATGGCTATGACCTGACAATCACAAGAGAATAGACAGGAGAATCAGTGACTAGTATTGGAAAAGGAGAGGTCATATGCCCAGTGGGAAAGGAGTTGAGAACTTGAGGACACATGAGCTCCAGCTCCACCCAGCCCAACCTGGCCCTGGAACTATTACCATTAGGAATCTCTGTGTCCAGGGCCACGGCTGTTTCGTAAGTCCAGCACCGGGCAACATTACGAATGGTATAGCCACCTCCTCCCAGCATCAGCATAGGCAGGTTAAAGCTCTTCACAAATTCCACACACTTGGCATGCCCTTTGGTGGGAGAAGATGGTGCTAGGTTACAGGAGCACCCAGCAGGACCCTGCCCACCCAGCCCCATGCTACCTGGCCTCACCTTTGATGGTCAGATTGAAGCAACCTAACCGATCCCCAGACAGGGAGTCAGAGCCACACTGTAAAACGACCGCACTGGGCTGGAACATCTCCATTACTTTGGAAATGACCTAAAAGGACACATCCTAGTCACCACCAGCCTCAAGAAAAGCTATGTGATATTAGGGGCTAAAAAGCATGGGTGCAGCACTTTCTTTTGTGCTTCATCATCTACTCTGACCATTCCACTCTCTCACATGCAGGGTAGTAGATAAAGGAAGTATCAGCTTGGGGTCCTGGTTTCCCACTTTGGATTTCAGTTTTCCAATCAGAAAGGATTTCCAAGAGCCTCCTAGCATTAACAACATTGAACCCAGAATGGCCTCTGCAGCAACTCCCTGAGGCCCTTCTTTCATGCCCAGACTCCAGTGTCACTTCCTCTAGTAAGTTTTTCTGACCCTTAGCTGCATCTGTTCTACTCACCTGGTCCTATAGACTTTGAGCATGATATGATGAGGAGCCACTTTTTAGTAACTCATTCTCACAACTAGAATCTAACATTACTGAGCACAGAGACCATAACTCAGGCTTCTCTCCTTCTTACTATAAGGCACACAGTTGGCATTTGGTGTTTGCTGACTTTATTAGGTTTCCTGCTGCTTACAGGTGAAGATTTAACTCCTCAGCATGACATTCAAGTCTCCCTTTGAAATACTGACCCCAACATACATTTCCCACATCGTTCAGCACTCCTCCCACACATCACCCTGGCCTACATACAGCTACATAGGCTACATATTGGCACCACTATTCCTTTTGCTGAATGCCTCCCCTCCCCCACTTCTTCACATGGGTAACTCCTCATTTTTCAAAGTCTAGCCCAAATGTCACCACCTTTGTGAAATCATCTGATTACCCTCTCCTCAGCCCAGGCAGCAGTCTGACTCTCACTCCTCTCTGTTCATCCCTTAAAAACAGTACTGACTACACACACGCTGTTGGGTGTGTGCCTGCCTCCCACACCCTACCAGTGGTGTCTAACCCGCAGCCCGCAGGCTGCATACGGCCCAAGATGACTCTGAATGCAGCCCAACACAAAATCGTAAACATACTTAAAACCGTTTTTTGCACATCAGTTTTTGTTAGTGCTTGTGTATTTAACGTGTGGCCCAAGACAAGTTGTCTTCTTCCAATATGGCCCAGAGATGCCAAAAGTTTGGACACCCCTGCAGGCCTAGATTGTGAGGTCTAGGCCACAGTTCATGTCTTAAATATTCTAGTATCCAACAAAGGGCCTGACTCACAGAGGACATCAACAAGTATTTGGATGAATTTTGTTTTCAGAACTGAGCACATGACATGCAATCCAGGGTTTAAACACATCTCCCAACTAGCCTCTCAGTGGGGAGAGATTCCCGAGATACAGTGAGGGTGCTTTGCTACCCCTCCCTTAGACCAACCCCGTTTATAGCCCAAGTGGTGAATTAACCACTTACCGGCTTGAAAATGGCCTCATAGGACTCGTCATCAATCCCATCTCGAAGCGGGTAGTTAACAGCATAATACTTGCCTTTGCCAGCCCCTATATCCTAATCAAGGGGGACATTAAAGTAAAACTGAACAATGAAGCAAGAAGGAAGTTCAAGGTTGGGGGTTGGAAGGCTAAAGCAAGAGGCAGCGGTTCTAAGAGGGACAAGTTGGGCCCATGAGGTAGGCCAGGGACAGAGCAGGGACACCTTGGTTAGTACCACCCCCCTCAATGGCAAGTCTAGTTCTCATCTCTTGGCCTATCACTGAGCCTGTACCCAAACTGAGAACTGTTTATGGGGCTAGAGATTAAATACCCTACTCCACAGCACAAAGACCTCTACCTCTGCCTGGTAACTGCGTCACAGAATACCTGCCCACAACAATCCTTTCCTGTCCAGAGAGCTTTACTGCTCATCCACCCTCTACCCACCCACCCTCTCCTCTCTAGGGAGATATGGAGGGGAAGCAAAGAGGAAAAAAGAGTTCTTCAAAATAGTAAATGTTCAGTTACTCTAATGCTTGCTATACCAAACAAGTGATTTAGTACCACTTTTTCACCCAATGGCTACTGGCATGACAAAGTGGCTGGTTTTACTGTATTCATGCTAACAACAGAACTGCTCAATGACTTAGCTTCCAAGGATTCTTACAGGTCCATGGATGGACATCATTAAGGGGAAGTGTCTATTAACTATTCGATATCAGATGGAAAATACATGTTTCAGTCAAATGGTCAAAGGGGAAGTAACCTAAAAATGTTAAGAAATCCTGAGATGGTTCATAAGGGTCCCAGTTCACAGCCCAGAGGAGAAAACCTGGTGTTTCTCAAGCCATGCAGGGTATCTGAATAGTGCAATGCAATTCAGTTGTGGCCAGGAGGGAAGTGCATGAGTCAGGCGACCCCTATCCCTCCCAACCCTGTATGTCCCATCATTTCCTTCCTCCAGAATAAGGAAGGAAAGGAGACTATGGGCAGGTGTCCCAGGCTGAAGTATGGTGCTCTGAATGGCAGAATAGACAGGAAGTAGTTTCTGGTGACACAAGATAGGAGAGTTAGAGCTGGCAGCTGAAGGTGAGCTGGTTGGCCCCTGAAGGGAGTTCTCACCCGTAGGTCCCCAGTTCCTGGGAAGTACTCTCCATATTTATGAAAGGACACAGTCATGACTCGGTCTGTGGTATAGAAGGCCTCTTCCACGCCATCGCCATGGTGAATATCAATGTCAATATACAGCACTCTCTGGTGATACCTAGGATCAAAAAGGGGTCAGAGATCTGGGAACTCTTTCACAGTGGCACGCGCCAAGGGCGCCAGGTCCCAGCTTACCGAGCTGGCTGCCTCCCTCAGGTATCTCTAAGCACCAGAGACGTGGAAACTGGCTGAAGTAAGGTGGAAGAGCGGCAGGGTGTCTCCACAGGCCTGACAAAGCCGACCAAGTCCGATCTTCCTACTCTATAGCCAGGGTCAACTCCGGCCACACAGGGACACTCTGGAGGCAGGATCTGAGCAGCACCTGAGCACCTGCCCCTGATCTTGCCGTGGGCTCAGATCAAATCAAGACCCCGTCAAGGAGAGAATGGCCAGAGACACTCACCAAACATATCCTAGCCAGCACACTGCTAGGAAAAGTAAACTAGGGAGGCAAGCCCTGGGGAAAGGTAAGTGGGAACCTGGCCTAAGGTGCTCCTCCAAAGGACAAGGCCAGGCAGGCATACTTTAGCAGTTCCAGGATGGCCAAGACGATATCATTGACGTAACAGAAGCCAGATGCCTCGGACTTCTTTGCATGGTGCAGGCCCCCAGCCCAATTCACAGCGATGTCCGTCTGCTGCTTATTAAGTTTCACAGCACTTGCTGGGCGTGGGAAGAGAGAACATAAGCCTATTACCAAGCCACTCTCCCCCTCCCTCTCTTCCAAAGAAACCCAGAGAACCCAGTGAGAGGTAGGACCTGCCCATTCAACAGCTGTATTGTACAATTCACAAGCCAGTCTTCTCCCTCCCACCCCATTCAACAGGGAGTAAACATAATATTAGTACTTTTAAAAAAACTATTTTCTAAAACTGAAGGTGGTAACCCCTTAGTATATCTTAAAATTGGTTTAGTGGGTCATGACCAGCATATATATTTTTAAATGAAACAGAGTAGAATAAAAATATGACGATAACAGTAAAGGTAACTGCTCTTTGGTAAAACTGGCTTCAGAGTGAGGAAGGGTTTTTGAGTGTAGGAGTGTGTGTGTGTGTATATATATATGCACAACCTGGATTACATGTATAAATGTATTTCTTACCATGGTTTGCAATAAAAAAATTTCTGAAGATACCAAAGGTGGCAAAGGCTTAAAGTACAAAGAGGTCCAAGAAGTGAGAGAGAAATACACACTCAAGTGTTCAAGTGCATTTGTGGCATTTGTTAAAGTGCTCTGTGGCATTTGTTAAAGTGTAATTTTAACAGCAATAAAAACATGAAACAATCCAAATGATCCAACAAGAGGGGACCAATTACATCAACTGAAGTAGGTCCATAACATGGAATAATCATGTAGCCACTAAAATTCATGCTGTATCTACTACAGATAGGGAAACTTTAAAGATTTACTAAGTAAAAAAATGCAGCCACAAAACTATATATATATAATGCAACACATTTTTATGAAATATAGATGTATATACATTTTGTCAAGATATATACACATAGAAAAACAAATGGATATACAAACTCCAAAATGGTGACAATGATTATCCATGGACAGTATGATTGTGGGAATTTTTTTTCATGCACTTCTTTGTTTTCTGAGATTATATTGGGTGGTGGGCAGGGGGAGAGAACACAATGATCATAAGAAAGTATTTGTTAAGCCCTGGCAGGGTAGCTCCGTTAGTTAGAGCTTTATCCTTGATATACCAAGGCTGTGGGTTTGATTCTCAGTCAGGGCACATACAAGAATCAATCAATGAATGCATAAATAAGTTAAACAACAAATTGATGTTTCTCTCCCCCCACCTCTTCCTCTCTCTCTCAAATCAATATATAAAATTTAAAAAGAAAATAAATACTTGTTAAGAAAAAGTGTTTAGAGTAATCCGAAAGGTAATCTAGAAGTTACTAATGAAGTGGGCAATATATAGGCCATATTTCTGATCTTAATTACCATGCTCTTTTGTAAGGCACAAATGACACTTCCGATTTTTATAGCATTATGCAATTCACAAATTGCTTTTATGTATAGCACCGCAACAATCCCTAAGATTGGCAGGGAATTCCTGTATATAAGATTGCTTGGTAGGAGAGGACAGTCCAGGACACCTGTCAGTACCATGTCAGAGGCTGAGCCCTGGTTGGGACTGAACCAGAAAGACATTTGAAAGACTTAAGGTAAAAGCCCACAGGGACATTTCATACAGTCTCAGATCAGCCCTACTAGAATAGTGACCTAAAAGATAGATCTCACTATTATAACCCAGCACAGCCCTCAAGGAGGGAGGTATGTTCCTTACCCACAGAGCCACCAGTAGATAACTGACAGAACTCAAACAGGCCATCAAATACCGGACAGTCCTCACCAACGTTGACTTGAAAGACATAAGCGAAAGGTTATTTTCCACAATTTCCTTTAGTTTGTGTTTATATATTTATAAGCTAATGGAAAAAACAGAATTTGGGACCAGAAGGCTTGGGTTCTAGTCCAGGCTCTACTACTTACTGGCTGTGTAACTGGGTCACGTCATTTAACTTCTTTCAGCTTTGGCTCATTATCTATAACAAGCGATCATGATATCCACCTCACCCCATTGTTGAGAAGATTAATAGAAATCTTTTATGGGGAAGCATTTTGCAAATAAGTACTTGGAAAATGTTGATTCATTCCTGGAGGGAGAAAAATTTAGCCTCTTCTTTCAGCCTAGGTTTGTTCCTGGACTTCACTCTGGCTGACCGACAAGGAAATGAAGGACAGAGACCTATATGACTATCATTCTCTGAATGTTTAACAACGTGCCAGAAACTGCTAAATGCTTTCAATACCTGACATGATTTCTTCTCACACAACCATATTAGGTAAGATTTGGTTCTATTTTATAAATGGGGAAACACGCTCAGAGAGGTGAACTGCTAGTAAATTGGCAGAGGCAGTATTGAAGTATTGGTCTGTCCTAAAAGCCTATGAAAATATACTCTGGCTTTTCCCCAGTAATTTCTCATCTGATCCTCATGACAACCCCATGAGCTGGATGAGACCGATAACAACCCCACTGCAGAGGAACAGATACAGAGAAGTTAATTGACTTGCCCAAGGTTATACAACCAGGCAATGGCAGAACCAAAATCAGAATCCAGGTGCTTTGACTCTTCACGGTCCAGTGTTCTTTCTACTAAACCCACAAGTGACAACTGGAGTAAAGTTATTTCAGGCCTAAAGGGGTAAAAGTATAAACTAACACATAGTGATGAAACACATGCAAACCATAATGCAAATGAAATGAAAAGACAGGAAGAGAAGCACACCTGAAGACTGTAGACTCACAGAGCTAGAGGAACCTTATGGCTCCAAGTCTCTCACAGAAAAGGAAAACTGCTGAGACATCAATGATATACAGGAAGTTAGAGGCAAGGGTAGGGTTATAGCCTTATTCTCTTGTCCCAGTCTTCCCATGGCACCCACTGTTATCAATAGCAGTTCCCAAATTAGAGCAAGGAGGAGGACCCCTAGGATGAGGAGAATAGGAGAGCACAGGTTGGATTGTGATAACCTCTTGAGACACAGCTGAAGCTCAAGGTTTGCAATAACCACAAGAGTTACCAACTCCAGCACTGCCCTAAACTCGGAGGATGCCCTGATCTGATGTCCTGCCAACACAAGTGCTCTGAGGAAGTGTGGCTTGTATAAGGGGGAGTGCACTGGGTGGCTATCCTCCCAGCTTCCTGGGTAAACACTGGGAGACTGTGTCAATAAGAACTTTGGTCACTGGGGCCAGGCTATTTATCTACTGGCGTCCAGTTCCCTCCTCTGGCTGCTTCCTCCTGCACTGGGTTTGGCCTGCCTGGGTTTCCCAAGTTTTGCTGCATTCCTATTTGGGATGTGGAGCCTCCATGGGAGGAAATGGGTGCTTTAGACACAAGGAGAAATTATTTTCCTTCAGGCCCCAAACCAACATGTGGCTCAAATGGCCATCCCACTGTTCCCAGCTCAACAAGCTGTGTAATTAGAGATGGAAAAGGGGGAAAATGGAAAGGCAGACCCTCATTTGGACTAATCTGTAAGGCTAGGAAGGACTTTTCTATGGGTTTTCCCTCTTCCTACCATAAATACTTTTCTCAGTCTTAGGCTGGCTTTAGACTGAGGGTGAGCAATACTCAGTGAAAGATTGGGGAGCAGAGGTGGGTAGAAAGGCAGTAAAAAGAGTATGGTAAAAAGAAATGTATGGAATTAAACACTGACTTCAGGACAATGCTTGTACCTTGGCAGTGGTGGTACTGGAGGAAAAGGGAAGTAGGAAAGAAAGGTATGTGATCAACAAGAGGTGCCCAGGAGGGCTTCAACTATACTGGTAGTATTTTCTTTCTAAGACCAGTAGTGGGTACATGGATGTTCTTTCTTATATCATTTTTTATACTTCTTTTGTGTCTGAAATATTTTTATATGCAACATATTTAAAAACATTCCAGAATCAGGAGACTAGAATTCCATTCTACTTTCTACCAGTGGAGAATTCCATTTTCCATTCTTTTTTAAAAAAGATTTTATTTACTTTTAGAGAGGGGAGGGAGTGAGAAACAGAGGGAGAGAAACATCGATGAGTGAGAGAAATATCAACTGGTTGCCTCTTGCATGCCCCACACAACTGGGAACCTGGCCTGCAACCCAGACATGTGCTCTGACTGGGAATTGAACCATCAACCTTTCGGTTCGCAAGTTGATGCTCAATCCACTGAGACACACCAGCCAGAGCCCATTTTTCATTCTTGCCATGTGACTCTGGCAAAAGCATTTTATCTCCCTGGGTCTGTTTGTACATCTATAAAATGGACAAGAATGGTTCCAAATTTTACCACCATAAATCCCTTTTATCATGTTTGCACCATAAGCCTCATGTTCTGATAGACTATCTGCCCAAAAACCTGCATTTATATTCATGCTCCCATTTTCACTTATCAAGGTTTTGAAAAACTTCAAGTGACCACAAAGCACTTACCACTCTAGCCAAAAGCAAGGAAACCTGACTTAGTTGGTCTTATTACAGGTATTACAGGTACAATTTCCTAGGTTAGATGTTGGTAAATATTTAAAAAGAGCTCAGTTCTTACATCCCTGGTACCTCTGTAGAAACCCCTGGTTATAAAGCACTGTACTAAGTGACATCTCTCTATAATCCTATAAGTCAAGGCAATAAGGTACCTTGTAGTCCTCAAAGAGCCTCATTCTTCCTACTCTGCATCTTCAATGAGATAAAATCCCAGACCTAGTTTATGAATGCATAAGATTAGAGTGCTGGTTTCAGGAAAACTGGAGCAATCTGGGAACCAGAGCCAAACATATGTGCACTCCCGAGGTCCTAATATTTCGTCTGCCTTGACAGATTTGAAAATAAAAAAGCCGTAAGTCATACTAGCAAAAGCTACTATTCAGTGATAGTGTTTTGAATATATTATCTCACTCATCCCCTGCCCCCAACCTCCACTATGAGATAGGCACTACTTACTGTCTTCTTTTTAGAGAAGAGAAAACAGGCTGAGAGCAGCGAGGAGACTTACTCCTGCTCCTGAACACATTTCTATATGGCAGAACTAAGGGAATCAAACCAAGACATCAAACTCATTTTCTTGCCTTAACACCAAGCTGCTCCTCTAATAAGAGCCCTCTCTGCCGACAGTTGAGCCTGACTGCTAGCCTAAATAGGTAATGAAAACCCCTAAAACCATCGAGAGCAAAGGAATGAGTCTGTCTCACCTTGAAAGGAAATAAGACCCTGCTAATTCAAAGAGCAAATACTTCACTTAGAGGGGCCAGCAGCTCCTGGAGTTCTGAAACTTAATGTTTCAAAGAAGGTCTCTGTGGTTCTGTAATCATTACCTGCACAATTATTGCAACGAATAAACAACTTTCTGCTTTGGGACTCAGACTACCTTATGGACAGTAGTAATAAACAAATACCACAAATTTCCTGATATTTCAAAATAAGCTGTCATAAGCTATCAGAACCTCTTCTGAACAATGCTGTTACAATATACTGCTTTAGTGAGATCTTAGGTGCAAGTGAGAATTTCTAAAATAACACAAAGGAGAAGTCATGTATGATAGTTCTTCCCAATTTTGAACATATTTTCCCCTCACAGCTAAAATATTCCCCATAACTCCTACAAATTGAGTGTTGCTTCTGAGATGGAACCTGTTCTGGGTTTGAAGTCCCAGGGTTCCGGGGTAGGTAGACTCACCTCAACTCAAAGATTACATCCTCTAGAGTCTGTCCTAACGGGCTGCTAAAACTCTCTCTCTCTCCCCCCCCCCTTTTAAGTTATATTTTATTGATTATACTATTATGGTTATCTCAATTTTCCCCCTTTGCTCCCCCTCCACCCAGTGCCCTCCACTCCCTCAGGCAATTCCCACACCTTTGTTCATGTCCATTAAATTCTCAATTAATACTAACACAGTGGGAGATGGTCAGTTGTATGGGGTGACATCGAGTACATTTTACAAAAGAAAAATCTGAAGCGAAGTGGCTTGCCCAGGTAGTTGTCAGAACTAGGATCTGTATCTCCTGTTCCCCACTCCCAGGTCAGTGCTTTTTCCATTACAACGACTACAGTTTTCTTGGCAAAATGTTGTGAACCTAACTGGACAAGGTTCAATCTCTACTCCTTACAATCAGAAACAAAGAAATCGAGGCTTGAGAAAAAAGAAGTACTTTGGCACTTTTGGAAGACAAAGGAAATCAGGTGTCAGCTGAATGGGAGGTACAAAGGAAAGAAGGGTAGGCCCCTCGAATTGAAAGGGAGATCCAAATGGGGGCTTGAAAGTAGGGAGAGAACAGAATGGACTTACATCTCTGCATCTGCTTGCTGTACTCAGACATGTTATCTGGGCGGATGGAGCGCAAGAATTTTATGTAGTCATCACTGTGATACTTGGTCATCTCTTCAGCATTGGCTTTGTGAGGGCGCTAGAGGACAGAGAGGAGAAAGGGCATGTTAATCTTGACTACACACCAGTCTTCTTGGTCTAATCTGAACACATGACTGCCCAGTATTGAACTAGATGCTGTGAAGGATAAAAAGAAATTACTGATTAGATTCTGGCCTCAAGAAACTTACAATCCAATTAGGCAACTAAAATTATTAAAGTCATTATCAGAAGACCTAGACTGCAACTCAAATTCTGTTGCTTAGGCAAGTCTACCCCTTGAGCCTCAACTTCCTCATTTACTATATACAGATAACATCTGCCTTACAGGGAAGTTGTTGAGAAGTGAATGAGATTGTTAAATCTTTATAAATTGTGAAGCACTTTACAAATTATCACTTTTTTGTGTGTGTGTTCTTGCCCAAGGATACATTTACTGATTTGAGAGAAACATTGATATGAGAGAGAAACAAAGACCGTGGGTCATGGGGACAATGCTCCAACCAACCAAGCCACACTGGCCAGGACCAAATTACTACTTCTTTTTAATATTAAATGACTATATATAATTATGGGCCAAATGGCTCCAGAAGTTAAAAAAGGGATGACTAATAATTAAAATACGAGATCTGTCCAGAAGGAATCCAGCCATATACTATGAAAAATACAGACATCTATTGAAGAGACAAGATATAAGAAACATTGTCCGTAGGACAACGACGCCTTAGTCCCCCTCAAAGTAGACACCTTGGGACCTCACACAGTTCTCCCGGTCGCCATCAGCTGCCCTGTAGTATTTTCCTGAATCTCACTGACAGTCTGAAATCTCCTTTTCAAAGGTGATTTTAGTTTTGGGAAAAGCCAGAAGTCACAGGGCACCAAATCTGGGCTGTAGAGGAGCTGAGTCACCTGGGTGATTTGATGTTTTGCCAAAAAACTCTGCAGGAGACATGATGTGTGAGCACTGTCATCATGAAGCTGACAATCACCAGTTGCCCATGGCTACAGCCTTCTGAATCATCCATGTAGTTTCCATGAAGGAATGTACAAGCTTAACGCAAAATTCGATGCAGATTTGTCGCTCTACTCGCTCAGTCATTTTGAATGTGACAGCCACACAGTATACATGTTCACTCATTGGCATCTACCACCTCCACTGACTAGTACAATGAAGTCATCATTGTTCACACATGCACATTCCAATCCCTCTCCTTGGCTGTCAGGTTATATCACACAAACTATTCTTGTTATACTAACAATGGCTGGATTTTTTTCAGACAGACCTCGTAGATGGAAAATCTTTTCTAAATCATCATCACACCAATAATTCTGATGGCATCATTCCCATTAAAGCTTGACATGGTAATTTCCTGGATAGCCCAGCATTCTGATTTCTGATTTCTCTTTGTCTCTTTTAAAAAATTCTCTTCTAGACTTACAGCCAAGATGAAGGCATAGGTAGATACACTTGGCTTCCTTGCACAACTGAAAGAAGGACAACAAAAAATTTAAAAACAAAAAACAACCAGAACTGCCAGAAAATCAAACTGTATAGGAGTCCAACAACCAAGGAGTTAAAGAAACATTCATCCAGACCAGTCAGATGGGTGGAGACGGGAAGCTGAGGCGGAGAGGACGCACGGCAAGGCAACATATGGAGGACCGGGTGGGTGAGGCAGCTGGTAGACCAGGTAGTCCCACATTTGTGTGCAGATAAACCAGGAGAACAGCTGGGGATCGAGACAGACCACACAACCCAGAGTTCCAGCACAGGAAAAGAAAGCCTCAAAACCTCTGGCTGTAAAAATCTGTGGGGGATGCAGCAACAGAAGAAACTCCCAACCTTACAGGAGAGTTCGTTGGAGACCCACAGGGCCCTAGAATGTACACAAACCCACCTATCTGGGAATCAGCACCAGAAGGGCCCAATTTGCTTGTGGGTAGTGGGGGAAGTGACTGAAAGCTGGCCAAGGGCAGAGCAAGTGGCATTGTTCCCTCTTGGACCTGTTCCCCACCTACAGCATCACAATGCAGCAACCTGGGCTGCCACGCCCTGATGAAAACCTAAGGCTCCGCCCCTTCCAACATAAGAGGCATGCTGAGACAAAGAAATATGGCCCAAATGAAAGAACAGATCAAAGCTCCAAAAATAGAACGAGAAGATGAAGAGATAGCCAACCTATCAGATGCAGAGTTCAAAACACTGGTAATCACGTTGCTCACAGGAACAACTGAGTATGATCACAAAATGGAGGAAAAAATAAAGGCTATGCAAAGTGAAATAAAAAAAATATACAGGGAACCAACAGTAAAAGGAAGGAAACTGGGACACAAATCAACAATTTGGAGCAGAAGGAAGAGATAAACATTCTACCAGAACAGAATGAAGAATATAAGAATTCAAAAAAATGGGGAGAAGCTTAGGAACCTCTGAGACAACTTGAAACATTCCAACATCTGAATCATAGGGGTACCAGAAGAAGAGGAAAAGCAAGAAATTGAAAACTTATTTGGAAAAATAATGAAGGAGAACTTCCCCAATCTGGCAAAGGAAAAAGGCATGCAAGTCCAGGAAGCTCAGCAAGTCCAAAGAACTTGGACCCAAGGAAGCACATGCCAAGACACAACATAATTAAATTACTCAAAATTAAAGATATGGTGAGAATCTTAAAAGCAGCAAGAGAAAAGGAGACGGTTACCTACAAAGGAGTGACCATAAGACCATCAACTGAGATCAGAGGGGCAGGGAAAGGGGGAGAATGTAGGAAAAGGTACAGGGAATAAGAAGTATAAATAGTAGGTACAAAATTGACATGGGGAGCTTAAGAACAGTACAGGAAATGGGGAAGCCAAAGAACTTATATGTATGATGCATGGACATGTACTAAGTGTGGTGGGGTGGGGCGGGAGCGGGGGAATGCCGGGGAGAAAAAAAATGGGACAACTGTAATAGCATAATCAATAAAATTTTAAAAAATTCTCTTTCTAATGCCTTGGCTGGTGTGGCTCAGTGGATTGAGCACTGGTCTGCAAACTGAAAGGGACAGCAAGGTCACTGATTCAATCCCATCAGGGCACATGCCTGTGTTTTGGGCCAGGTCCCCAGTTGCGAGAGGCAACCAAATGATGTATCTCTTGCACATTGCTGTTTCTCTCCCTCTCTTTCTCCCCTCCTTCCCCTCTCTCTAAAAGTAAAATAAATAAAACCTTTTAAAAAAATTATTATTAATGTTGAACCTTAAAAAAAAAATTCTCTTCACCTCATCCCATCAAGGTAGGTATTCTTCAAAGATGACTCTTTTCTAATTACCAATACTTCTATAGTTTATAAAGCATTTTCAACATACAGATAACATTAATTGTTTCCTTTGTGCCAGTTATTGTTTCAAACACTTTATATGCTATCTCACATGACCTTTACAACAGCCTTTTAAACTTCATACCATTATCATCCTCACTTTGCAGTAAGGAAACTACAGCAAAGAGGTTAACTAATTTGCCCAAGGTTACAAACTAGTAAGCTGGATCTGGGAACCCAAAGGTCTGGCTCCAGGTACAATCTGATTCTCATTTAATTCTCACTAAATATAATGAGAAATATAAGGCTGAAAGATAGATATCGTTTTATTTAAAAAAAAAAACAAACAAAAACACCTACAGTAAAAGAAGAAAGGCTTGGCTCCACATATCAAGTTTTGTTTGTTTGTTTGATTTTTTTTTACTATTTTAAGCCCTTCACTCCCTTGGCAATGCTGTCAAAGCTCCACTTTGACTATCTCTTCTAGATAGATGACTACCCTAACTCTCCATCTTTATCTCTATTCTAAGCTCCACATTCACAATTCCAACAGCTTCCTAACCAGCTCCATCCACAAATCCTAGAGGCACTCCAAATTTAACCTATCCTCCAGAACCTCTCTTTCACTAACTTTGTGATGTCAACATCCACGCAGGCCAAAAACCTGGGTGCCAACTTTAACTCCATCCTTTCTGGCCTTCCACTTCAATCAACTGTCAGTCCCTTTTCCATTATCCCTCCATAATTTTGATTGCATCCACCACCTTATTTCCCCTATGCTCCTCTTTCCTGGATTTCCTATTCTAACCACCATCCACCCAGCTGCTCAAGACAGAAGTCTAAGTATCACCCCTAATTCCTTGTTCCTCAACTACTGCATTCAACTTCTCTTGAAACTACTGCCAACGTATCTATCAAATCTGTCTACTTCCATCCCCAGCTCAACACAGTTTTGGCTTGGATTGCGGCAATAATCTCCTAACTGGTATCCCACCCTCAACATTAACACTGTGAATCTGTTCTCAATCCTACAGCCCTAGAGCAGAAGTAATCTGTCTAAAATTCAACTGAATCATGTCACATCCTTCTAAAAACTCTTTAGAGGCTTCATTACTCACAAGATCAAGTTTGAACTCTTTAACCTAGCTTGGGAAACCAAAATAACCTGGTCCCTGCTCACCTTTTTAGAATCCCTCTAAATATTTTATAATCTAGTCCAGGGAATGAATACCAAGTTCAAAGCACTTAAAAAAGCCAGTAGGTTAACTAACTTGGTACTTACAACAAACAAAAAATCTCATGCATTAATTGTACCATTCTGCCAAGAACAATTTTACTTGCAATTCTCCAAGAGACTCCTCTCTTATCTTTAGAACTTTGCACGTGCTATAGCCTAGATGACTATTCTCTTCACCCCCTCTACTCAGCTTGTAGGTTGCAACTGAAAAGCTAATTCTCCTAGAATGCTGTCCTTAACCACTAGAGTCTCAGTTAAAAACTCAATGATGCCTTGGCCACCTAGCTCAGCTGATTGGAGCACTGTCCCAATAAGGCCAAGGTTGCAAATTGATCCTCAGGGTCAGGGGACATAAAATAATCAACAAATAGATGCTTCTCTCTACTTCTCTAAAATGAATAAGAAAAAGAAAAGAAACTCACTGAAGTGACTTCCCCTAAGAATTCTTACTTCCCTTAACACATTCAAAGTGCATAGAAATTGCATTTGTTTGGTCCACTATGAA